ATAGACAATATTAAACGAGTTATTTACGTTCTTACCAGTTCTGCCACAACAACACACCTGCATTAGCCTGCTAGCGTAAAATAGCATAACCGCAATCAAAAGTTGCCATACCACACAAAGGCCAATCATTAAATTATCTGGAACTTGTTTACCTTCAGATTTAAGGCAATGGATTGGTGAGAGGGAGACAGACACACGTCTTACTAGCCGCTTTATCTTTAACGGGAGAGTTCGTTGATGGCGGTGCGGCTAACAGGCCCAAATCCTGCCCGCACACTAGAAAACGACACCATTTCCCACCTTTCCGACCGATCGCGCCGCTTAAACGTCAATAATAGCACTTAAATAACACGTACTTTACTTTCTAGGTCTAAATGCGTGAATTGCGCCACTGAACGACGTTTCTTCGGTGCACACGGGCTAAAATTGCATGCAACAATAAAGCGCTCCCTCCTGCACAACACACGGACATCGCGAATTAAAACACATTCGGTCACCTTTCAAAGCACTGAGTCTCGGGAGACTGGGGTCTTAGTGTTGGGAGTCACCCGGTCTCTCTCCTTGGGGTGACTGTGCTCAAACAATGTACGATCTGCTCGGGATTCTTATTTTTCTCTACCGGAAAAATGCATAAACCCTGCACGACACAGTGAGAGCGGCCATTACCCAGACGTCATCACATCGCGACCACATGATTTTTTTTACGTGAAGAAAGTAAGATGTTATTAAATTATTATGCCGAAATAATTAAATAGCCATATGTTGAATCCTGTAGAATACATAAAAAATACCGAGTAATATATTCATAATTTGAAAGAAATAATGAGGTCATACACAAAAGAGCAAAAATGATAGGCCTACTGGTATCTTTAAGTTAACTTTCATCTGTCAATTAAAGTTAGTTTGAATATTTATAGTTGAATATTTATTGTTGTTATTATTATTATTATTATTCAAACAAATAATACACTTAATAGGCCTACCTATCAACACTTATACAATTAACAGGTTTATTTACAGTTTTTCTCATTAGCTAAAACACAATTTCTGAGCTCTTGCTCCATTTTCGTACACTTTTACAGTTTTTTACAATTGCTATGACAGTTTTTTCAATACATTTAACAAGTTTCTTAAACTCTTAGCACGGTTCGCACAACATTCATCTTTGTGTGCTATACAATTAACACATTTCTTGTTGCTTTGATACAAAATGCATCCAGTTAACACCAATTTGAAATGCTTGAACTTCTTTTACACAAAAGCTCAACCAAGACCAAAACAAAATAAAGTCACAGTCAAATTTACAAATGCTTTCACGCATGCAGTGTGTACAGTTATGTTCTAAACACAACTTATATGGGCCAAAGTCAAAGTGAACAGCTGTTCATATTGTGAATTGAAACACAAATATATTCCCTGTATTTTATTCCATGGCCAATGAGAAACAGCTTATTGCTGTTGTGTAAATACATAAATCACAGCAGATTCCTAGTTATGTACCACACTCAGGTTTTTCCAATCACATAATCTAAAAATGGACTCTTTTGGCTGATCTTGTGTGGAAAAGGAACAACAAGAGAATTCTTCCCATGATGCCTTGCCAGAGAAGATATCAGGTGGGATGTGCATGAGAAGGTGGCCAAATGCAGAAGATTAATTTTGTATAATAATTGCGGTGCTTTTTCTGTTTGTATATCATGCAGTAATGTATTGTATTGAATTTCTACAGCAAAAGAAACATAATGCATGCATTTACTCAACCCAACAAAACAAAAGTGTAGAGAGGGTTTAAATATAAGGGTAGACCCGACACATAAAATAATGCAGTTTCTGTAATGTCAGCTGATGATAGTGTTTTTTGTCAATATGTTATGATTGACTAAATGTTCCTGTAAGATGAGAACATGTGTTAGTGTTTTAAGTAATTATTTGATTTTAAAACATGTTTGCAGTGTTTTGTTAGACATGGTTTATTGTGTTAGTTTATTATTGTATTTTTAGCATTAGTTTTGGGGTTTAGTTTACAATGTGTGATTTTAAACATGAAATGAACTGTTTTGCCAATTGTGTGTTTTAGGTGTGTTGATGCGTTAAGACTTTAGCAAACTTCTTAAATGTATTGAAAACACTGCCATTGTAAAAAAAACTGTAAATACAATGATTTATCTGCTGAGAGCGGGAACAGGTTCACTTTGAACACCAATCACGTGTAGAAACAGAAAGCGTACAGTAGCATAAAACAAAACCATAAACATACTGTAAGTAAAAATGTATGTTAGGTATATGTAAAGCAAAAGTATACTGTATTCTGGAGAATACAGTAAGAGAGCGTGGGGTCTCGGTTGGGAGAAGCGTCTATTACCTGGAGAAGCATCACATGGGTGTAGGGTTGGCCATCAAGGAGAGCCGGGCTGAGCAGGTTTCTTCTATTCTCATTCATTCATTCATTCATTCATTCATTCATTCATTCATTCATTCATTCATTCATTCATTTTCTTTTTTGGCTTAGTCCCTTTATTGATCTGGGGTCGCCACAGTGGATTGAACCGCCAACTTATCCAGCACGTTTTTACGCAGCGGATGCCCTTCCAGCCGCAACCCATCACTGGGAAACATCCATTCACACTCATTCACTCACATACACTACAAACAATTTAGCTTACCCAAATTACCTGTACTGCATGTCTTTGGACTTGTGGGGGAAACCGGAGCACCCAAAGGAAACCCACGTGAACGTGGGAAGAACATGCAGACTCCACACAGAAATGCCAACTAACCCAGCTGAGGCTCGAACCAGCGACCTTCTTGCTGTTAGGCAACAGCACTACCTACTGTGCCATCGTGTTGCCCCGTCTTCTATTCTTTTCTAAAGGAATTTAGAAATTAGGATATAGAAAAGGTGAATATTCTGTAGGTTCAAAACTACAAATTTTTTACCAGTTAGGTGGGGTTTGGCCCAGAACAGCCCAGTGTCCTGTCACTTTTTACCTATTTATAGGCCTATACTACAGAAAAAGCCATGATTGGTTAGTGATCAGTTACAGTTTTTTACAATGACAGTTTTTTTCTATACATTTAACAAGTTTCTTAAAGCACCAACACACCTAAAACACACAATTGGCAAAATGGTTAATTTCATACTCAAAATCACACATCATAAAATAAACCCCAAAACTAATGTTTAAAATACATGGTTTTACCATGTGAAATGGTTTAAGATATTGACGACAGACTCTACAATCAGTTAAATGAGGTCAAGCAACAGAGAACTTAGTTCAGCTAATGTGATTTAGTGTTTTAGCAATTGTTTTAGCAATTTAGCAGTTTACAAAAACTGTAATTGAATACTACTAATACTTACAGAATTACCTTCCAATACTAATACCTCCAGAATAAACTGACATATACCCAAACATGTATTGTTATCATCACAAGACCAATCAATCAATTAACTAAAAATAAACAAATATAAAAAAAACAACGTATGTAATAGTCTCAAATTTTAAAAAACGAAAAGTAATAAATGTCTGATTTAACAAAAAAAATCTTAACTGATTTAACAATCAATCAATAAATTAAAAAAAATAAATATAAAAGACAAAATATATGGAATAGTCTCAAATTGTGAATCAAAAAGAAAAGCATAAAAATGTACAAATTAGGTAAGAATAATTAATAAATGACTGATTTAACAAAATGACACAAAATAAAAATGAATGGAAAAAGTAATAGATCCTTAAAATAACTAATACTTTGCCAGGATTAACGCATTAGTATTAAAAAAAAACAAGCCCAAATCAAAATTGACCAAAATAATACTACAGTTAAAATAATTGTATAAAATATACAATTCAAAGTGAAATTAAAATGAACTTATACACTGGAATAATACCAAACAAATAAAAAGAAGGGACATTCTACCAGAAACATACATTTTTACTTGTAAAAATGTATGTTTCTGGTAGAATGTCCCTTCTTTTTATTTATACTTGTAAAAATGTGACGGGGCCTGACTTTTAAGCTTGTCGTCCTCAGAAAATCATATAAAAACATACTGTCAGCTTCTCCTCTGTCAAATGGTCACTTTCAAGTCATAGCCTTTTTTTTATAAAAATACACTTTTATTACACGTATTTTATGTTATATTTAATGCAAATGAGAAAGGACTGACAGAAACATGGGGACAATTGTAAATTAATTTGTATTATTTATTTGAAGAATTTATTTAATGTTTTTAATCAATTGATGTGAATGATATCAACTTAAACTTAGCTATTTCTGAAGTTTTTTCTTCTAATAAACAGTTTTTAGCATAACAAAATCATTAAAGCTGTAGGCTTAATTGGGCTTAGGACTAGGACAAGGACAATGACAGGGTTTGTACATTTGTAAAGTGTTTTTACTAAAGAAAAAAAAATCTGACAACCAAATGAATGACATATTTCTTAACTCACAGAAATCAGCCATCAGTCTATTTTAGAAATGTTTGGGATGAAATACTTTTTATTCACTGTGTTTTTTATTTCAGGAACAGATAATGTACATCTCTGGTAGAATGTCCAAGAAATTACAATGAATACTGAATTATGATTATAATCAGTAAATAAATGAATAAACACAGCCTACCACAATGAGTAAAATAATTTAATCATATAATTTATTATAAACTAAATACCCCCCAAATAATAGTTTAGATTTACTCATATTTGAATTTTCACTGATTAAATTGGTTGTTTATACAAGAAACCATTTAGGTCTACCTGTTAGAATGGGTCCCTTGCACGAACATAGGCCTAAATTAACATATATACGTTCAGCATATTGTCTAATAGTGCTATAATTAGCCTACATTAAGAGTGAAACTTTTGTAGCATCTTCTATTATACAGTGCCGGTGTGCTCAAAACAGTCCTCAGCTCACCCACAGATGCACGAATCACCGGCGAGTTCGTTCACTAGGCGGCGCTATTGTAATGAAGGGACCTACAGTTAAGGAGACTTACAGTTAAAAGAGTGCATTTACTAGCGCTTCTGTACAAGATCAGATTATTTGCTCGTCATGTCAAATACTTCATATCAGTGCATTTTGTTTTTTGATCTGGGGTTTACAGTCGACAGTGCGTGAGAGCTGATTTCGTTCAACACTACAAGAATGATTCTGGTAGGAGACGCTTTTTCTCTATTTTGAGAAGTTCCCGATTTTTCAGTATCCGTGTAAAATGTGAAACGACTTTATGAGTGGAATATTGTATTAATGAGGCATGTGTATTTCTATGTTATTTTACCTTATGTTGTATTCTGTATGACAATGGTAGCTGATAAAAAATGTTTTACGAGACTTAAATTATATATAATATTTTACGAATGTTTGTTGGTTAAATGCATTATAGTAGATATTTATAAGACTATTTACATGACTAAAAAACATATAGTCTACATTTTTGAAAATATAATTAAAGGTCCTCAAGTAGCCTATACAATTGTAAAAAGATGAATCTTCGTGATGTATTGCCAAACGCGTAAAACTCTGAATTATTCAGTCGTGATCCATCAATATTTCTAGTTCAGTGGGCTAATGAAACATCTGGTTTCCTGTTCAGAAACAGATTATAGAGAAGGTGATTGTCACAGCGACACTGTAGGCTTTGTCTCAAACCCCAGTGAGTTCCCTACCTGTGTTTTAGGCGTGTAATATTTTAGGAACGATCCTGTAGCACCTCACAGTGCTGTCTAGGTAGGCAGGTTACTAGGTTTTGAAACACGGCCGTGCTGTTTGGTAGAGCGAGTTGTTCTGATTTATGATTCTGGTAGTGATACAGTCAATTAGGAGAGCTAAACAAACGTGAATGACAGCCCATTTCACAGCAGCACGCCTGACTCTCACCATTAATGAAAATCTCTGAATCAAGCTCAGAGCAAGAAAAGGAAGAGCTGTCATTTTGCTGCCACAGATGAAACAGGGAATCTGCACTCAAATAAAGATGAATAAAGATGTTTTTTTTGTTGCAACTATTTGTTCTCTAAAGTAACTTATACTGAACTATTTTATGAAAATAATTTTTCTTAGTGTCAAGAAAATGAATACATAATATTTTCACCATCAAGACCCCTTTTTATCGATGGAAATGTGTCATTACTCTTGAAAAATAAAGGTGCCAGAAAACATCAAATAGGAGTTTCACAGTAAAGCAACTGAAGAATAATTCATTCATTCATTTTCTTTTCGGCTTAGTCCCTTTATAAATCAGGGGTTGCCACAGCGAAATAAACCACCAACTTATCCAGCATATGTATTATGCAGCCAAATTATATATTTTTTTCATAGGATCGGTGTGTTTAAGTTAGATTATCAACAAAGCAATAACGTCAGCTGCAGCAGATTAATTTTATAGCACCAGTTTAAACTTTCTGACACCTTTATGGCAGTCAAATATGTTAAAAATAAATACAGACGCCATCTAAATATTGAGAATGATCTCTGATTGGCAGTCTCCAAAATTAAACCAAGAATAGACTTGTGCTGAAAACATTGTGTCCACCAGTCTCTTTAGATGAGGTTAATACTAAATTAAACTAATTAATAAATGACTATTAAAAATAATATAGTTGTAAGACGATTGCACTTTTTTGTGCTCGTGCCTATTGTTGTATGAGCAGCATTTGCATAAACACGTAAGAGAAATTTGGGGGTCGTGAGTCACTGGCATTGTTATTTTAGGGGTCACGGGCTGAAATGTTAAGGAACCCCTGTCCTAAAGAACCACCTATTTAAAGATTATTCAAAGAACCACTCTATCTGTCTTAAAGATAGATACTGTAAATATATATATCATTAAATTGCTATTGCTGTTCCATTTAACATCCAAAGAACCTATGTTTTCACGAAAGTTTATTTTACAATAAAATCCAAGAAAAAATGGTTAACGTATGGTAAGATACTTTGTAGAACTAATAATTATAAAACTGCATAATAACTGCATTATAAATAACTTAATGAGATTATATACAATTCAATGAATAAATAAATGCAGTATTACAAATGATTACGGCGACATGGAGGCTCAGTCATCTCACAGCTAAATTGTCACTGGTTTGAGTCCCAACTGGGTCACTTAGCATTTCTGTGTGTAGTGTGCATGTTTTTCCTGTGTTCGTGTGGGTTTTCTCCAGGTGCTACGGTTTCCCTCACAGTCCAAAAACATGTGGTACAGGTGAATTGAAGAAACTATATCTGCCGTAGTGTATGCGTGTATGTGTGAATGTCAGAGTGTATGGACATTTCCCAGTACTGGGTTGCAGCTTTAAGGGCAACCGCTGTGTAAAAAATATGCTGGATAAGTTGGTGGTTCATTCCACTGTGGTGACCCTAGATTAATAAAGAGACTAAGCCGAAAAGAAAATGAGTGAATGAATGAAATAGGCTGTAGTGAATGTGTGTGAATGGGAGAGTGTATGGGTGTTTCACCCGGAGGTTGCAGGTGGAAGGGGCATATCTGTGTAAAACATATGCTGGATAAGTTGGCGATTCAATCCGCTGTGAAGATCCCTGATCAATAAAGGGACTAAGCTGAAGGAAAATTAATTAATTAATTAATAATTACAAAAAAAAAAAAAAAAAAAAACAGCACTGCCAATAAACCTTTATGTTTTAGAAATATGTCTAAAAATAATTCATTTATTAATTTATAATCTTTAGAATTTAAGTACTGAATTTGTAAAAAACATGATGTATGTTTTAATTTATGCAAAGACAAAGACTGGACACACACACAAAAATGTGTCCCTCTTCAGTTTACATGATTGGAAACCACAGCGCACTTGTCCGTATCTGCATTGCCAGAGCAGTATTAATGGAATATGAAATAGAGTAAGATGAAGTCCGAGCAGGGTTTGCAGGGTTGGGAAGTCGGGATTGAGTTAAATTACTTTTCACATCGTGTCCACCTCAATTTATTAGGGAAGCCCCGAGAGGCAGCGCAGTCTTATTTACAAGGCAAAGAGACGGCTGAAAAGAGCAACAGATGTCTGGATTTTTCAAGCTGCTCTATACAACGTCTTGTCTCCATTTAGTAGCTTTAATGGATTTCAAAACCTCCATTTCAGCCCAGAATTAATGTTTGAATATGAAAATATCTGTGTTCTTTCATTATGACAAGTACACAACAGGCTTTGTGTGCAGGATACACTGAAAAAACAACCACTGAGGCAAATTAAAGATTTGTAGGATCACGTAAAACACAGAAAAAGCACACTGTTTGATTTAAAGATTGTTAGTTATTAAACATGCCATTTGCCACAGCAGCTGTGTGGCTTTAAGTCTTTCTGTGATTTTCCGCACTTATCGCCGTGCACCACTTAAAATGTCTCATTTAAATAATTAAAAGCTTCTCATCCTGTCTCAATAATGTTCAGAGGAAGTCTCCTAAAATCCTTACCAGAGCAAGCATAATGGGAATATTTGTAAAAGAAAAAAAATAGGAAGTCTACGTTAACCTGCATCATGTTATTTTAATAAGTGATGCTCCCAGCTCGGTCTGCTTCTGTGTTCAGCCTTATCTTTTGAATGCCAGATGAAATGGACTGTTATTCAGTAATTAACAGACGGCGATGAAATCCTCTTAACAGTGATTGAGACTCGCTTTTTCCCTACTGACTTACTCAATCTTTTATTCCAGGGTGATCGATTGGATGGACGATTGCATTAACGTGGAAGGAGAAAAAAAATGCAGGCTCTGGATTTCAGTGCTTTCAATGGATACTGTTACAGATTAACAATGAAGAAATAATGGGCTGCGGTCAGCAGAGGAAGGCTATTACACTGTTGATGGCAAGAAAATTAAACAACACACTTAATAAAAGAAAAGCCCATCAGTAAAAAGCTATTTTTATATATACAGTTTGAATCAAACAACTTCCATACTGCTTTTTTTCTGCTGTTATCGTGTAAGTATTGACACAGAGAGGACTAATGATGCAGGAAAATGTGAGCTCCAGGATGGACACTCCAACCAATATCTCTTTGGTGGGCTCTGGAGATGCCGTGACCGAGTCCTTGGAGTATAAGACTGTTTCTGTATTTCTGGTCCTGCTGGTGTGTGGTGTGGGCATTGTGGGAAACATCATGGTGGTGCTGGTGGTTCTTACCACACGCCACATGCGAACACCCACCAACTGCTATTTGGTGAGCCTGGCTGTGGCCGATCTGATGGTCCTGGTGGCTGCGGGTCTGCCGAACATCTCAGAGAGCCTGATGGCAACCTGGGTGTACGGGCACGCTGGATGTCTGGGCATCACCTACTTTCAGTACCTTGGCATTAATGCGTCCTCCTGTTCAATCACGGCATTCACTGTGGAGAGGTAAAATAATAATAATAATAAATTATACATATTATTTATTTCTATATCTGTTATATTGTTTTGAACATTAATGATTTCAGTAATCTAAACATCAATGTCTAACTTATTTGTGGTCATTATAAACTGAAATTTTTAATTATAAACTTCAATTCTTACTTCACTAAACTGCTATGAAACTTACTATGTCACAAATGACACTTACTATGAGCACAAAACGATTGTGTATTTGATAATAAATGAACAAAATGGGCATTTTAAAATTGACACGTTTTATTTTTGCACAATAAAAGCAACTGCCATGAGAAATACACTCACCGGCTACTTTATTTGGTACACCTTACTAGTACCGGGTTGGACCCCCTTTTGCTTTCAGAACTGTCTTAATCCTTCATGGCATAGATTCAACAAGGTACTGGAAATATTCCTCAGAGATTTTGGTCCATATTGACGTGATAACATCATGCAGTTGCTGCAGATGTATCGGCTGCACATCCATGATGCCAATCTTCCATTCTACCACATCCCCAAGGATGCTCTATTGGATTGAGTTCTGGTGACTGTAGAGGCCATTTGAGTACAGTGAACTCATTGTCATGTTCAAGAAACCAATCTAAGATGATTCACGCTTTATGACAGGGTGCGTTATACTGCTGAAAGTAGCCATCAGAAGATGTGGCGTTGACATGATGCTCAATTGGTACTAGTGGGCTCAAAGTAAGCCAAGAAAATATCCCCCATACCGTTACACCACCAACAGCCTGAAGCGTTGATCCATGCTTTTATGTTGTTAATGCCAAATTCTGACTCTACCATCCGAATGTTGCAGCAGAAATCGAGACTCATCAGATCAGGCAATGTTTTTCCAATCTTCTATTGTCCAATTTTGTTGACTGTACATTGAATCCCAAAAATTACACTTATTTACATACACTTTATTAGGTACACCTGTCCAACTGCTCGTTAACACAAATTTCTAATCAGCCAATCACATGGCAGCAACTTAATGCATTTAGGCATGTAGACATGGTTAAGACGATCTGCTGCAGTTCAAACCAAGTGTAGAATGGATAAAAAATGTGATTTAAGCGACTTTAAACTTGGCATCCTTGTTGGTGCCTGACTGGCTGGTCTGACTATTCCAGAAATTGCTGATCTACTGGGATTTTCATGCGCAACCATCTCTGGGGTTAACAAATAATGGTTTGAAAAAATAAAAAAATATCCAGTAAATGGCAGTTCTGTGGTCACAAATGCCTTGTTGATGCCAGAGGAGAATGTCCACACTGGTTTGAGCTGATAGGAAGGCACCAGTAACTCAAATAACCACTCATTACAACCGAGCTATGCCGAAGAGCATCTCTGAACACACAACATTTTAAACCTTAAGGCAGATGGGCTACAGCAGCAGAAGACCACACTAGGTGCCACTTCTGTCAGCTAAGAACAGGAATCTGAGGCTACAATTCACACAGGCTCACCAAAATTAGACAATAGAAGATTGGAAAGAATGTTGCCTGGTCTGATGAGTTTCGACTTCTGCTGCAAAATTCGGATGGTGAGTTCAGAATTTGGTGTCAACAGCATGAAAGCATGGGAAAAAAAATTAAAATAAAAAAAAATCCTTTTTCCATGCACAGGTTGCATAGAGGTATACAATTACATATTTTGACAGGCAGGTCAGACAGCCTATCATAACATTTGACACCAAATATTTTGATTGGACATACTTTTCTTGGTTCTACACCTTCCACAGAATAATAAAACGTATGTAAATACATTTGGACCACTTTATTTAACGATGCTATCAGGATGTGAAAAGACTGTTAACCAAAATATCTACAAATTAACATTTTCTGTATTTTGTGATTCATGTTTTTCCATTTATTTATGCTTTTGAACTGCGTTATGGGATCCTGATCTTCCCTCCAAATCCTTTTATTGTTGGAAAGTTTAAAAATTGACTTTTGTTGATATTTTTATTAGTTTAAAGTTATATAGTTCCCTTTTGAGTTGTAAATTACTGTACAAAATCTGGTAATAACTGCTAGTACTTGTTTAGTTATTTTACAGATTAAAATTATCTCTGTATTATTTCTTAAATAATATCTTTTCTCAAACTAAAAAAATCCCTTTGTTAATCTGGAGTTAAACATCAAAATTCGACAGAGCAGAGATAAAACTGCCAACCATAAATAAACCGAAAACACCTTGTGTACCACAAAATACCAAATATAAATTTTTTACAGTGTAGTTTTTGGAAACAATCGCCAATTGCACCTAACAAACTTATAAACATCAAAATCTCCTCTTGCTTCTACAGATACATCGCCATATGCCACCCAATGAGGGCGCAGACCGTGTGTACAGTATCCCGAGCCAAGCGCATCATAGCTGTTGTGTGGGTTTTCACCTGTGTTTACTGTATGCTCTGGCTCTTCCTGGTGGACATCCAGGTGAATCCTGACGGCCGAGTGCAGTGCGGATACCGTGTCTCTCGAGATCTTTACCTGCCCATTTACCTGATCGACTTCACCATCTTCTATGTCATTCCTTTACTCCTGGCCATCGCTCTTTATGGTCTCATTGCCCGAATCCTGTACCTGAATCCTCTGCCGCATCCGCCAGATTCAGGTACCGTCATTGCTCCAACTCTTAGAAGAAGCTGCAAAGAACCGGCTGATGGAGGGAAGGCAATTCGTCAGGGACGCCCTAAGAGTGCACTTTCTTCTCGGAAACAGGTAAATGTGTGTGAGTGTGTGTGTCTGCGTAAGTTTGCATTTAGACAATTAATTCTGCATTTTGATATCCACTGAGATTGCAGTGGAGGGTAAATGAGGGCCATTCCTCTGCTCCTGCACTGTGGCTTATGATTATTATCGCATATTTGTTTTTTGAAAGGTCACTTCTTTTTTATGACAAGGATGTTTCACTCTACTAAATGTCAATTGGTAGAGAGAAGAGTGTGCTGATATTTCCTGGTGCAGTTTAAATTGTAAAATAGCATTAAAGGGCATTTTGCCTTAGTTTAGGGGAGTTAAGATTTATGTTTTTATTTGATTGCGTTGTAGTTTTATCTTTAATTTGATGTTGAATACCCTTTACAAATGCAAGGTTCAACACAATTCATTCCTGTTGTCCCAATACAAATCAATTAAAGGGCGCCTATGATGAAAATCAAGCTGTTTGGACAGAACTGTGTGTAGGTATAGTGTGTCCACAGTCATATTGGAGTAATATAAACACAGTCAGTGTCTTTTTAAAAATTTCCTGACCTTAGAATAGGATTTATCTTCTACTTTGAGGGTCACCACAACGTGATGTAGGGGTGCGGTTTCCCTGCCCATGGAATTGATTGACAGCCACGTATTAATATGTCTCCAAAGCAGCGTATATAATCAAATCAACAAGACAGAACGTGCACAAAGCAACCAGGATTAAAAGATCTGTTTTGCTCTCTGTGATCATCAATCATCATCAAGTGTGATCAAGAATGAGTTTTAAAACAGTGCATGTTTGTAATTAATGGCAGCGATTTTACCATCTTTACTTTATCACCACAGCCGCATGTCAGAACAATTATAAAAGGCACTTTAATTCTGGTTTGTGGACGTTAAATCAGGTTTAATTTGTACATTAACATAACAGATATCCACACTGCACAGATATCCTGTCACGTTTGCCGTGCAAAAACAGTGCAAAGTTAAACACATGCTGTATGTGTGTGTCTGTGTGCGTGAACTTTGTAACAACCTTTTCGTTGCAGAATTAACTCCACAACAAATACATCAACTAATCATTGGGAAAGTTCTTGCTAGTCACAAATGTTATGTGAGATCTGCTTCCTTCATGTCTGTCACGGTGCTGTTTATCTGATGCAGCCAAGGTGGAGATTGAGGCACACTCTGACAGGCATGTGGTAACGGTGGGTGGTGAGAACTAGCATTAAAGGCACAGGCAACAATAACAGCTACATTGTGTTTAGAGCAGAAAATCCCAATAATCTGAAAGATATAATCAATAATCAGATGGAGGTTTTGAGTTGAAACTTTACAAACACATTCTGAAGACACAAAAGACTTATTCTAAATCTTGAAACGGGTGAAATTGGTAAGCTTAATGTGTGTTTCTGTTTTAATTCATTCAATAGTATTTATTTTAGCTTGTTTTTTTCACTTTTATTTTTAATTACGTTTTCTTTTAGTAAATCAGGCTAAAGTCTGGCTTATTCATGGTTAAATAAAACTAAAATAACTTACCTAAAATTACCATTAACTAAAATTAAATATTGAGTGCTTTGATATTTTACTGTTACGAAATATAATAAAAACATTTTAAAGTTCACAATTTTTTAGCAATTGTGAAAAGAGTTCAAATTCAAATGTAGTACATTTTCAGACGCTATGCAATAGTCCAAACCATTATGAAGATTCATTCATTAATTATTTTCCTTTGGCTTAGTCCCTTTATTCATCAGGGATGCCACAGCGAAATGAACCGCCTACTTATCCAGCATACTGTATGTTGTTTCCAGCTACAACCCGGCACAACCATATTATGATATACACTCACCAGCCACTTTATTAGGTTCACCTGTCCAACTGCTCGTTAACGCAAATTTCTAATTAGCCAATCACAAGGCAGCAACTCAATGCATTTAGGCATGTAGACATGGTCAAGTCGATTTGCTGCAGTTCAAACTGAGCACTAGAATGGGGAAGAAAGATGATTTAAGTGACTTTGAACTTGGCATGCTTGTTAGTCCCAGACAGGCTGGTCGGAGTATTTCAGAAACTGCTGACCTACTGGGATTTTCTCGCACAGCCATCACTAGGGTTTTACAGAGAATGGTCAGAAAAAGAGAAAATATCCAGTGAGCGGCAGTTCTGTGGGTGCAAATGCATTGTTAATGCCAGAGGTCAGAAAAGAATGGCCAGACTGGTTCCAGTTGATAGAAAGGCAACAATAACTCAAATAACCACAATTGAGGTATGCAGAAGAGCATCTCTGAATGCACAACACATCCAACCTTAAGGTGGATGGGCTACAGCAACAGAAGACCACACTGGGTGCCACTCCTGTCAGCTAAGGACAGGAAACTGAGGCAACAATTCACACAGGCTCCCCAGAAATGAACAATGGAAGATTGGAAAAACGTTGCCTGGTCTGGAATAGGAGATTCGCATAATGGATGTGCAGCTGACAAATCTGCAGCAACTGCGTGATACTATCATGTCAATATGGACCAAAATCTCTGAGGAATATTTCCAGTACCTTGTTGAATCTACACCACGATGGATTAAGGCAGTTAATGAAGGCAAAATGGGGTCCAACCCGGAACTAGCAAGGTGTACCTAATAAAGTGGCCGGTGAGTGTATATATCCCCGTCCAAGCAGGTGGCCATAAAAGTCAGGCAACGAAATACAGATTATGTTTAACCAGGACTTAATGCAAGATATAGGTATAAGTTATAAACGCAATTAAAGAAATCTATGGGCAATATGTACAGACGGATGAACATAATATACACAAGTTGTATCAACTATAGTCAGATATTTACAAATAGATGAACATACTGTACAGGTTACTATTAATAATCAAAGTACACAAATAGATATGAACATAATATACAGGTTGTTAGCTTCAAAATGGAAGTCATTTATACTAAATGCTTCCTAAAAATAGTCATTTTTTAGGCTGAAAGCTGTATGCAACACAGTAACATCTTACAGATATTACAGATAGAGAGCAAACATCTGAGCTCATTGTTTATGATGTGAAAGGCTACCTAATGGCAGAATATCATTATATAGCAGGTCATTAGGATCTGTCTCATCAGAAGAGAGGCATTAGGGGCCATCAGGATTGGGTCTACATTACCATCAGTGCAGCAGACGTGGCTGTGTTGTGACACATGATGGGCTCTGTGACACTAGAGATATGATCTGCACCTGCATACAGCCAAAATACAAAAGCCATCAAGACATACAAGGGCCAAGAATTTCAGATCTTGGGTATGCGTAAGGTTTGAAGGGTTGCATTGAAGATGATTTAAGGATGAATTTATTCAATCTCACATACATATTGATACAGTTTACACTGATGTGTAAACCACCTAGGTATCCATCATTTATGTATGTATATATATAAAAATGGGAATAAAATATAGAATAAAACAAATTTTAACTATTTTAAACTATTACTATTTAATTACTTTTAATTACTACGTAGTTACTTCTAATTTCTATTTAATTACTCAAACACATGCTATACACAAAATATAAATAAAAACAGCAACACTATCGATTTTTTCATTCGCTATCTGGACAATGATACATTATATTTTCATCCAAGTACTGTTTAACAGAGAGAAGATATTTTACAATACATTTAAACAATACTTTTGATAACTAATTTACTTTTTATGCCTTTGCCATGATGATGGTACATGATGGTTTTAGGTAATTTGGAAGATACTAGTATTAGGATTAAAGTGCAATTTAAATGAGTAACTAGGTTTATTAGACAAGTCACTGGACAAAGGTGTTTTTTCCTGTTGCAATAAAAAATAAAAATATAATAAAAAACGTAAAGGGAGTAATATTGTTAACCTTAAAATTTTTTTTTTTTTTTTTTTTTTAAAAACTGCTTTTAATCCAGCTAAACTAAAAGAAATAGAATTGTTCTAAAGGAAAAAAATATTATAGGAAATACTGTAAAATTATCCTTGCTTGATTAAACTTCATATTTCATATATAGGTAATATTTTAAAAAATATTTTAAAAATCCACAGAAGGGCTAGCATTTTTTAACAATATTGAGCTTTCATATGTTTTTATTTAAGTTTGATTTTTGAAGTTTTTACATCCAGTTAAGCTTAGAAAAAAAACATATATATACACTTTAAACAATAATTAAAATAAAATATATTTTTTAAAAACTTTTAATTTAATTATTTCAGCTGTAGTTGCCAAGGATTTTTGCCATTTAGTTGATCTAAATGGCTATAATATCTAAAATAACTGAACTCATTCATTCATTCATTTTCCATTGGCTTAGTCTCTATTTTAGAGGTCGCCACAGCAGAATGAACCGGCAACTATTCCAACATTTGTTTACGCATCATATGCTTGTTCAGTCAAAACTAAGTACAGGGAAACACCGATACACGCTTGCATTCTCACATACACTCATACACTACGGCCAATTTAGGTTATTCAATTCACCTATAGCGCATGTCTTTGGACTGGAAACCTACACTAATGCAAACGCCCCACAGAAATGCCAATTGGTCCAGCTGGGACTCGAACCAGCTCGACCTTCTTGTTGTGAGGCAACAGTGCTAACCACTGAGCCACAGCGCTGCCCTACAACTGAACTATAAGATTAGAATAAATTAAGTATTTAATAAATATCTTTATTAATAAATGAATTTATAATCTAATAATTATTCTATTTTCATTTAATAGATTTAATACAACTACAATCATTATGACACTGAAATGAAAAAAAAAAAAATAATAATGCACCGCCAATTATCTAAATATATTTGAATAAATAAAAAAATAGAAAAACAAATAGGTACATCAGGTAATAGACTGAAGGATGAAAAAAACATTTTTTTTGGAAAATAATTGCATATCTTACACTGTGTCCGAACTATCAACGACACTGTACACTGTGAAACACAATAAAAGGTTGCTTTTGTTCTAATCATCTGCAGCAGCGATGTGCAAAGTC